GGTTTCATTCAAACCCAGGAGTCTAGCTCCAAAGTGTGCTGTTAGTCATGGTGCTGTCAGCTCTGACATAAGTTGAAGAGGAAAGACCAAAGCACATATTGTTTTAAAAAGCAAATGTAAAATTATTATGTATTAACAGCTAGTTTGTGAAGGAACTATAACTTTTTTTTATATTAAGGGCTAAGTTATATCTTTGACACCACCAGAATTTTTAGTTTAGAAGCATGATAACAAGTATGGACTGGAGTAGTTGGAAAAGTCCGTATTCTTTTCCTCCCTCACCTCCCCTGTAGATCAATTATTTTATTTGGATTAGGGACCACTGAAGGAGCCCCGATGGCACTGTGTTAAAGCCTACAGCTGCTAACTAGAAGGTCTGCAGTTTGAGTCCACCAGCTGCTTCTGTAGGAGAAAAGACCTGGCAATCTGCTTCCATAAATATTACAGCCTAGGAAACACTGTGGGGCAGTTCTGCTCTGCCCTGTAGTGTCACTGTGAGTCAGAATTGACTCAAAGGTATAGAATAATAGCAACAGTTAGGAGTTACTTTTGCATAAGAACTTGAGTATTTAAAATCATTTGGAAGAACTCCGCCTCCCCCTTTTTTATATTAGTTTCATTGTCCTGGTAACATATCTGTTCCATTGAAATAAATTTGGCCATTCTGTTTTGTTTCATACATACTGATTTTTAAGAACTTTTCTAATTGATACGATATGAGAGTTCAATACAACTAAGAATACCACTTTGTCTTCTTAGCCATAGTGTTAAATCTAAAGACCCTCCACTATACTTCCACCAGCCATCCTCCCCCTCACAACCACCAAAAGGGGAGAGGGTTTTAATGATTCAGTAGAGGGAACAAAAGACAAAAAGGTAGTAAATGAAACAGTAGCTATTAAGGTGCATCCCAGGATCTGTTATGGGGGAATTAAGTGCTTTAGGGAGTACATTAAATCTTCAGACCCATTATGCTACGGGGAAAAAAAAAATAATTGGTTTTCCCAAGTCTCTTACTTAATGGCTTCCTTCAGTACATTAATTATGTGCAATAGTTTTTTTTTTTTTCCCCAATTAAAACCAGATAAACATGCTGTGTCTTTTTTTCTTTCTTTCTTTTTTTAAATTCTTATTACAGAGTTTTCTATGGATGTTGTTGTTGTTAGGTGCCATTGAGTCAGTTCTGACTCATAGCGACAGAGTAGAACTGCCACACAGGGTTTTGAAGAAGTGGCTGGTGGATTTGAACTGCTGACCTTTTGTTTGCAGCTGAGCTCTTAACCACGACACCACCAGGACTCCTTTCTATGGATAGTAACTTTTTTAACACCATGTGTAGGGTTTATATCATGGACCATGTGATATGTGAAATCAGTCTTTCTTTTTGTTTAGGTTAAAAGGATCTGATAGATATTGAATGGCTATGTAATAAGAGATAGTGACTGGAAAGACTGCTGATGTGTCATTAGACATATTAATACTCTGACATCTTAGGAGCTAGAAAAGTTTGACATCTAGAAAGGTCAGTGCACTATAGAGTAGTACGTGAAGAGTAGGGTTTCAGAGAAGAGAGAAGCTCAGAGCATAGCATGGAGACAGAAGCTCTGGCTAGAATCTCAAGAGTTGTAAAAGAGAAACCCCAGATAGATCTAAATTGCAAGCATTTGAACTGCAGTTCACAGAGGATTTTCAGGTTATGAAACTTAAATACTGACAAACTGGACTGTAGAACTCAAACCTAGACAGAGTCAGGACAGCAGGTATGGTGGACACAGCTATCATGAACTTTATACCGAACTAAATTTTTCTGGAGCAAAAGATCATAATAAGCTTTCTGCCCAAGATGGGGAGTGGAAGGAGTGAAAAATATGAGTGAAGTATCCCAAAGTCAGGCACCAAGCCACACCTGAACTATTGAATGAGGGAATTACCAGAAGCCATTCAATTCATGACATTGTGTGGGTCCCCCTCCATATTCCCCAAAGTCTGTAACTTTATTTTGGCTCTTAATTGGTAAGTGTCTTTCTTCTTAATTTAAATTCTGGACCAGACAAATTGAGTTCTGAGAGCTTTTGGAAAGTCTTTTAAATCCTCAGTATTTATCAGAGAGCTTCATATTTCAAAGTTCAGTTTATTCTTGCGTCGTTAATGTATGTTCCTCTCCAAGCCTTCATTCTGAGTTCCTTAATTAAATCCTTACTCCAGGATTTAGATAGCATGCTCCATTAGAATAATTATTAAAATAAGTTTTAACAAATATGCACCAAAAATGGAAAGAATATTTTTTTCTAAATATTCTAATCCTGTTTCCCTTTGACCTATGAATGGTCTGAACTTACAATTATTTTTTATTGCTGGAATTTGAAAGGTTTTGCTAATTTGGACAAAAATCAGAAGAAAAATGGTTAAATCAGAATGTGCGAATGCAATTTGATTTAGGCTGTATTCAATATTTGTAGCTCATACCTTGATTATAATTTGTTTAGTGCTGTTTAGAATACCTATTTTTGAACAACAGTGTTATACTTTCCTTTTCTAAACTAACTGAATCGCCAAGCACATCCAGTGTTTTCTAAATTGTGTCCTATACTTCCAGTACATAAGGTACACAATTATTGTTTTAATCCGTGTTTAATTCTATCTGTAACATGTACTACAAGTGCAGAGACCATTTCTGTCTTGCTGGTTGTATATTCCTAGAATCTAGTGCCTAAAACAAACCCATTGCCATAGAGTCAGTTCTGATTCATAGCAATCCTATAAGACAGTAGAAATGCCCCGTAGGGTTTCCAAGGAGTGGCTGCTGGGTTCTAACTACTCACCTTTTGGTTAGCAGCCAAGCTCTAAACCACTGCGCCACCAGAGCTACATAGAACCTAGTGCATAGGAGACCCTCAATTAATACTTGATGAAGAAATGAAAGAGTAGGTGTGTGATATGTGTTTCACTGAGTCCTGCTTTTATTTTGTATAGTTTATTTTCTCTTGATATTCTGATTACATTAAAATCTGCCTTTCAAGCCTTTTGATTGGAAAATTATTCTTTTACTTTAATTAGAAGATACTTAGCTATGAAATATTCTTTAAAATATTTTTTTATGGAATTAACTATCAGAGATTGAACCAAAAACCTGCAGCCGTTGTGTCAATTCTGACTCATAGCAACCCTATAGGACAGATTAGAACTGCCCCATAGGGTTTCCAAGGAGCAGTGGTGGATTTGAACTTCTAGCCTTTTGGTTAGCAGCCGTAGCTCTTAACCACTGTGCCAACAGGGTTTCCGGAGATTGAACCAAGAAGATAAATCTTATAATATGTTTTTTAATAATTATTTTAAAGTAACAAAGTACCTAGAAAGAACCTATTAGTATGAAAATGTGATAAAAGCTATGTTGTCTATAGCAAGTATGTGTATCATGAAAATTGTTTTTTTTTAATTGTTGTTGTTTGTGGTTATGATCAGTGAAATAATTAATCCTAGGGATTTTTGCTTCCAGGTAGTCATTCCACACTCATATTTGAGTTATAAAGAATTTTTTTCTGTTTTTGTTTTACTCTTGTTTTCTTATGATATGTATAGTCCTAAACTTTGTTATTATTTGTTCTATAAGTAAAGGTTTTCCCCTAAAAAATAAACCAAGGGGTTGTTATGTTTACAGCTAAGAGTTCTCCTTTCTAAAGTCTTTCAAGTTGCTATTTTATAACTTTCAAAAACTATGCCTGAATATTTAAAATTGTATCACCTAAATGCTAACAAATTGCGCACGTCCTAATCCTGATGTAGCGCCCAGGCATACGTCTTTTGTGTACATTATCCAGTGTAATCACCTCAGCAGTTCTGCAGGTTAGGTTTCATTTCTTCTTTTACAGAAGAAGCAGAGGTTGACACCTTCCAACAACTGTTTCATGACTAGTGAACTGCAGATTCCTTTTTCTTTCCACTATTCTTCAGTTCTCAAATAGGCAGTTGAATATCTAAGTGTGGATTTTAGGGAAAAGTTTTAGACTGGAGATAAAAAATGATAAATTTATACATGATAAAACAAGTACAGATTTGGTGTTCTCACCAAAAACTGTTTTTTTTTTAATAGAATTAGTTAAAATGTTTTGTAAGTGTGGGACACTGACAGTATTGCACATGAAATATAATTGTTGTCACATGCTCTGTCTTAGCAATTTTGCCTTTCTTTTATCTGATTCACATTTATAGAAATCACTCTAATCCCTTTCCAATTGTTGGATTCCTGTGTCAGAATTCATAGATATGTTCATCTTTTTGCCTATGCAGTTGCATTATTCCTACCAGTGCTGTTCAAAATAAATACAATGCAAGCTACATATGTAATTTAAAATTTTCTAGTAGCCACATTAAAAAAGTAAAAAGAAACAGGTCAATTTAATTTTAATTTAGTGTCTTTATACCTAAAGTATCATTCCATCATCTAATCGATATTTTTAAACTGTGATATTCTGTATTTGTTTTTACTAAGTTTTCATAATCTGTATATCTTGCATGTGTACCCTGCTGCCGTTAAGTCCATTCCAACTCCTAGACACCCTAAAGGACAGAGTAGAACTGCCCCATAGGGTTTCCAAGGCTGTAAATTTTTATGGATTCAGACTGCTACATCTTTCTCCTGAGGAGTGGCTGGTGAATTTGAATTGCCAACCTTTCTGTTAGCAGCTGAGTGCTTAACTACTGTGGCACCAGGGCTCCTTTGACATGTACAGCACATTGCAATTCAAACTACCCACGTTCCAAGTGCTCAGTAACTACTTAAGACCAATGACTGCCATATTGGGCAATACAAATCTGTTTAATATAAGTATCAATAGTGTTCTGAAGCATGTTGTTCCCAGAAATTAATCTTGGGCTTCTTAGTGGTAGAAAACAAGTTACTGCTTTATATTATCAAAACTAAAAATATACTAATGTTTTTATTATATGCCAAATAAGTAAAAATGTACATAACTTACAAAAGTAATTACTGTGTTTTACAGAGAGGAGCGCCCTGGAAAGTATCAAAGACGGAGTTTTGAAAATCAAAGAAGAACCATCTAAAATACTATCTGGAAATAAGTTTCAAGACCGGTATTTTGTTTTACGAGATGGGTACCTCTTTCTTTTCAAGGATTTGAAGGTATTTATATATGAAGTATTTGAATTTGTATACATTTTTATTTCTTGGGTGTTGGCATTCCTATTTTATACTGCTCTCAGCCCTCTTGCTTGGAAGTCATAGCCCGGTGTTAAATAAAATGCATAGTAAGCTGATGATCTAGTTCAGCCTCTGGGATATGACATTCATGCACTTAGTAACACAGTGAAGAATTTCATATGGCCTCACTAAGCGCCTTACTTTTTTTGGGCAGAGAATGACTTTAGCCCTGAAGAAAAATCTAAATATGTATTTTATAAACTAGCCTATAAGTTAGCATCACAGTGAATAACATTAAGAGAGAATGTGTCACACCCTAAGGCAAAAGTAGCTTGAGTTTAGTTAATGGAATTTAATAAAAGCTAGAACAAAAAGGCAAAACCCAAAAGTTAAAATGAATCTTACTAACGTATTTCCTATACATTTTAATTAACTGACCCCTGTGATGTCATATTTATTAATTGAATCTTGTTAATATATTCTCAAAGGTTTGAAGTAATTAATAAAACATTTTTATTAAATAATTGTTGAATAGAGAGGGGAAGTAGAGATGAAAAATGGGGAGGAGACAAATGATGTAGCTATAAGAATGTTGAACCTATAGCATCAAAAAATCTTAGCTCTGTTAAGAGTTCGTTGTGTGAATATTTAACCTCTCCACCTCAATTTCTGAATCTGTAATATGATGATTGTATGAGCCTTGCATGCCAGGTTTTTTTAATACTTAAATAAGAATGTATCTAAAAGTTCTTCTTAAACTAAAACATTTAAAAATTTTGTATAGTAATTTTAGCATGCTTATCAAAAGACACCATTAAAAATATGAATACGCACATCACAGACTGAGAAAAATGTATTCACACACACAGAGCACATATACACACATACATATATATCTCCAAATATATATATAAAGAATTCTCCTACAAATCAGTAATAAGAAGATGAACAAACCAATAAAAAAATGGGCAAAGGAAGATTAGGAATGGCCAATAAGCCATTGAACCAATAATGCTCAACATCATTAGTCATCAGGGTAATGCAAATTAAAACCATAATGACATACTATTTTATACCCACAGGTATGATTAAGGGAGTCTCTGAGTGGTACAAATGGTTAAAACTTAGGCTACTAACCAAAAGATTGGCGATTTGAACCCACCCAGTGTCACCATGAAAGAAAGTCCTGGTGATCTGCTTCGCAAAGATCACAGCCATGGAAACCCTATGCGAAACGCATGGAATCACCCTGAGTCTGAACTGACTCTATGGCAACTGGTTTTGTTCTGTTTTTGGTAGATGACTGAAATCAAAAAGACTGACAGTACCTAATGTTGGCAGAAATGTGGACAGCTAGAATTCTCATAAATTGATGAATTTGCCAGGGGGTTTTTTTGTTTGTTTTTCATGAAGTCATTCATACATCTACCACATGACCCCATCAGTTTCACTCTCAGGTATTATGTCCACAAAAACACTTGTACAAGAATGTTTGTGGCAGTTTATTCAAAAAAGCTCAAACCTGAAAACATAACGAATGTCCATTAATAGGAAAATGATGCATTCATACCCTAGAATCTAGGCACAAAATAGTAACATATAATCCCTTTTAGAAAATGGTTGCCTGAGGTGGGGAGAACAGTAACGGTATTGCCAGGGAAGAGGGTCAGTAGGAGACTACCAGTAATAGAAATGTTCTATATCCTGTTTGGGGTAATGGCTACATGAGTGTTTACAGTGGTTAAAACTCATTAAACTAAACGTTTCAATTTTGTGCACTTTACTGCATGTAAATTATACCTCAATTAAAAAGTACAAAAGTACCAAGAGCAGAAAACTATACATTCTTTTCCAGCACACATGGAACATTATCCAGAATAGACCACATTTTATCCACAGCAACCTTCAATGAAACCCAGAACATGGAAATAATATGGATCATTCTCTCTGATGACAATGCCATAAAAGTAGAAATCAGTAACAGGAAGAGCAAGGAAAAAAAAATCAAATACATGGAAACTGAATAAAACTTTGCTTAAAAACAACTGAGTAATAGAAGACATCAAAGGTGGAATCAGAAAATTCCTAGAATCAAATGAGAATGAAAACATCATACCAAAACCTTTAGGACACACCAAAGGCAGTGCTCAGAGGTCAGTTTATAGCAGTAAACACACATCAAAAAAGAAAAATGGTCCAAAATCAAAGTGTTAGCCCAACAACTCGAACAAATAGAGCAGCCACAAAAGAAACCCACAGGCACCAGAAAAAGGAAATAATAAAGATTAGGGCAGAAATAAATAAAATAGGAACAGAAAAACAATAGAAAGAATCAGCTAGACCAAAAGTTGGTTCTCTGAAAAGATCAACAAAATTGACAAACCATTGCCAAACTGACAAAATAAAAACAGGAGAGGAAGCAAATAAACCAAATAAGAAATGAGATGGGGTACATTACAATGGATGCAACTGAAATAAAAAGGATCATAATGGAATAATGTGAAAAATTGTACTCCCAACACCACAATTCAAAGATGTCAGTTCTTCCATCTTCCTTATTCATCGTCCATCTTTCGCATGCATATGAGGCAATTGAAAACACCATGGTTTAGGTCAGGTGCACCTTAGTCTTCAAGGTGACATCTTTGCTTTCTAACATTTTAAAGAGGTCCTTTGCAGCAGATTTGCCCAGTGCAATGCATCGTTTGATTTCTTGACTGCTGCTTCCATGGGTATTGATTGTGGATCCAAATAAAACGAAATCCTTGACAACTTCAATCTTTTCTCCATTTATCATGATGTTGCTTATTGGTCCAGTTGTAAGGATTTTCATTTTCTTTATGTTGAGGTGTAATCCATACTGAAGGCTGTGGTCTTTGATCTTCATCAGTAAGTGCTTCAAGTCCTCTTCACTTTCAGCAAGCAGGGTTGTGTCATGTGCATAATGTAGGTTGCTAATGAGTCTTCTTCCAATCCTCATGCCCTAGGCATCTTCATATAGTCCATCTTCTCAGCTTATTTGCTCAGCATACAGATTGAATAAGTATGATGGAAGGATACAACTCTGACACACACTTTTGCTGACTTTAAACCATGCAGTATCCCCTTGCTCTGTTCGAATGACTGCCTCTTGATCTATGTACAGGTTCCTAATGAGCACAGTGAAGTGTTCTGAAATTCCCTACATAAAAGGGAAAACATACCGTGCTCATGGATAGGAAGACTCAATATTGTGAAAATGTCAGTTCTACCCAAAGCGATTTACAGATACAATGCAATCCCGATTCAAATACCAAGCATTATTTAACGAGTTGGAAAAACTAATCACCAACTTTGTATGGAAAGGAAAGAGGTCCCAGATAAGCATAGCATTACTTAAGAAAAAGAACAAATTAGGAGGCCTAAAACTACCTGATCTCTGAACCTGCTACACAGCCATGGTAGTCAAAACAGCCTACTGGTACAAGGACAGACACCAATGGAACAAAATCTAGAACTGAGATGTAAATCCATCCCCTCATGGTCAGCTGATCTTTGACAAATGATTAAAGTCCATTAAATGGGGGAAAGGCTAGTCATTTTAACAAATGATGCTGGCAAAACTAAATATCCATCTGCAAAAAAATGAAACAACACCTTACAGCATACACAAAAAGTAACTCAAAATGGATCAAATACCTAAACATAAAACCTAAAACAATAAAGATCATGGAATTAAAAATAAAAAGGACAGTGCTAGGGGACCTAATATATGGCATAAATACAATACAAACCAAACTAACCATATACAAACATCAGAAGATAAACTGGATAACTGGGAGCTCCTAAAAATTCAACATGTATGCTAATCAAAAGACTTCACCAAGAGCAAAAAGAGAACCTACAGATGAGGAAATTTTTTTTGGCTACAACATATCTGAACAGGGTCTAATCACTAAAATCTATAAAATACTTCAGCACCTCAATAAACAAAAAACCAAATAATCCAATTAAAAAATAGGCAAAGGATATGAATAGACACTTGAATAAGGAAGACATTCAGGTGGCTAACAGGCACATGAGGAAATGGTAACAATCATTAGCCATTAGAGAAATGTTAATCGAAACTACAATGCGATACCATCTCACCAGGGCATTACTGGCACAAATCAAAAAAACTGAAAATACTAAACGTTGAAGAGGTTGCAGGGAGATTGGAACGCTTATGCATAGCTGGAGAGAATTTAAAATGGTACAACCACTTTGAAAAACAATATGGCACCTCCTTAAAAAGCTAGAAATAGAAATACTATACGATCTGGCAGTTCCACTCCTAGCAATATATCCTTGAGACATAAGAACCATCACACAAATAAATGCACACCTATATTCACTGCAGCATTATTCACAATAGTAAAAAGATGGAAACAACCTATGTGCCCATCAACAGATGAATAGATAAATTATGGTATATACACACAATCGAACACTGCATAACAATAAAGAACAATGACGAATGCAGGAAACATCTCACAACATGGATGAATCTGGAGGGCATTATGCTGAGTGAAATAAGTCAATCACAAAAGGACAAATACTGTATGAAACCACTATTATAAAAACCCAGGAAAATGTTTACACACAGAAAAGAAAAAAAAAAAAGTCTTTTATAATTACCAGGAAGGGAAAGGGTAAGGAAGGAAAATCACTAACTAGATAGTAGACAAGTGGTAACTTCGGTGAAAGGAAAGACAACACAAAATGTAGGGGAACTCAGCACAACTTGACTAAGGCAAAGCCGTAGAAGCTTCCTATACACATCCAAACACATTGAGGGACCAATTTAATGGGGCTGAGGGCTGGAGACCATGGTCTCAGGGGCCATCTAAGTCAATTGTCATAGTTCATAAAGAAAATGATTTCCATCCTATTTGGTGAGTAGTGTCTGGGGTCTTAAAAGCTTGCTGGCAGCCATCTAAAATACATCTGTTGATCCCATCCCG